AGTGTCCCCGGTGTCCCCCCCATCCCTCCCCAGTTTGGGGGTCTCCCTGTCCCCCCGGTGTCCCCTTGTCTCTCCCCAGTTTGGGGGTCCCCTGGTGTCCCCGGTGTCCCCCCAAGTGTCCCATGTCCCCTCTGTCCCTCCCCAATTTGGGGGTCCCCTCGTGTCCCCCCCCCTGTGTCCTGGTGTCCCCTCGGGTCCTTCCCTGGTTTGGGGGTCCCCCCGGTGTCCCCCCCTGCTTTAGGGGTCCCCCCGGTGTCCCCCCCCGGTTTGGGGGTCCCCCCTGTCCCCCCGGTGTCCCCACCTGGTTGGTGGCCTGGATCAGCTCCTGGGCCTTGGCCCTGCTGGCCAGGTTGGCCTCCTCCATCTTGAACAGCAGCGCCGTCACTGCGGGGGGGACCCCAAAAACAGCCGTGAGACCCCCAAAAAACACCCCAAAATCCCAAAATCCCAAAAACAGCCCATGAGGGACCCCAAAACAGCCGTGAGACCCCCAAAAAACACCCCAAAATCCCAAAATCCCAAAAACAGCCCATGAGGGACCCCAAAACAGCCGTGAGACCCCCAAAAAACACCCCAAAACCAGCCGTGAGACCCCCAAAAAACACCCCAAAATCCCAAAATCCCAAAAACAGCCCATGAGGGACCCCAAAACAGCCGTGAGACCCCCAAAAAACACCCCAAAAACAGCCGTGAGACCCCCAAAAAACACCCCAAAACGCAAAAAACCACCCCAAAAACAGCCGTGAGACCCCAAAAACACCCCAAAATCCCAAAAACAGCCTGTGAGGGAACCCAAAAATCACCCCAAAATCCCCCAAACCAGCCTGAAAACAGCCCGTGGGGGACCCCAAAATCACAAAAACACCCCAAAACCACCAAAAAACAGCCCATGAGGGACCCAAAAAACATCAGAACACCCCAAAACCATCTGAAAACAGCCCATGAGGGACCCCAAAACAGCCAAAAACACCCCAAAAACCCCCTAAAAAACATCAGGACACCCCAAAACCCCCCACCCAAACCCCCTCAAGACACCCCAAAACCCCCTCAGGACACCCCAAAACCCCCCCAGGACCCCCCCAGACCCCCTCACCTATGTGCCCGCACAACCTCCAAAC